TTTACTCCATTTTGCTCTTATGTAGAAGACGAGGGAGTTGGAACTACCGCTGAGAAGGTGCCTGTAGTTACTGAAAGAATGCACCCTTTGGCCTAATACAGGAGTGAGAAGGATACGGACGCGTGATTACTAGTATCAAAAACCGATGCATGAATTCTTGCAAACATAAACAAAAGTACGATACAATTGACGAGGGTAAGGACGAATCTTTCTTCGATTTCGATAAGCAGAGGATTTTCGACACGTACTCATTGATCGGTCTGTACTTTTCCTTTTGAACTAGTGCACTCAGATGCATATAAAATGATTGGCGTATGAAAGCTATTGTCATGTTGTTCTAAATTCTATTGATTACAAGAATACGTTTGACTTAAAATTATTAGGAGAATAGGTTTGTCCGTTATAAAGGCCTTGCCAAGTATGATTGTTTTTCCCACGAGGTTTACGGTCTATTATACGTGTTGACGAGCGTTTTCGGTCAACGGTTAAAATGATAAATGTCAAAAGTAAAAGATCGAAAATGAAAGGAAGATTCGGTTTAATTATGGTTTTATTAGGCGATCACGAGGTCGGCCTCTCGTACGAGGTCGACACTTGCGATATACTTACAATTCTTACAATGAGTTTCTTACAGTTTTAGAGAGAGAAAATAGAGAGAAGGCAGAGTTAGTTGAGATTCAACAACCCAAAATAAATGAAATGAGCTGCTATTTATAGTAGTCTTTAATGTGGTACTGTTCAGCTACTGTTCACCGGTCTTGTCGCACCTTGCAGAGCAGTTCGGCGTCCCTTTGACATGCATTTAATGCGATTTGAGGTTTCTTCAATCATTGCTTGTCAGACATTTAATGCCAGCATGGGGGGCATTTAATGCTGGTAGGCTTTATTGACTAGATTTGCTGGTAGGACGCTAGGCCATAATAACCTGTCCCATCATCTAATGATGGCCTTCCAAGTGGGAATATTTTAATGCTCGTCGAGCCCCGCCCTTTCCCTCTGGTCGGCCACCCTGGATCTTCAGGTCAGCATCTTACTCGAACGTGCTTGCGAGACAGCCAGTTGTCTTCTTCCTGCCCGGCACCCACCCAGGTCGGCTCCTATCCGGTCTAAGCCAGGTGTCGGTCTAGAGAAACGTTCTCACGGCGATTCTGCATGTCTTTAATCTTCAGTTTAGCTCGGCACCCCAGTGTTAGACCAGGGTCTTCAGCTCGGGTCCTAAGAGGTCGGCTCCGGTTCATTCTGGGCTAACTCGGTTATCAACAATACGATACCAAGATTAAATGTTCTCTTGTTTTTTCACATCACACCATCTCATATGTTTGCATTTAAATGATTCAATAAAT